CTTTCTCTTCAATTATTTTTCAATATATATTGGTCTGGATGTGAAAAAAATCAACGGCGGTGTATGAAATTGAAAGTTGTGCATTAAATAAGATTGATGCGATAGCGCTGAATAAAAGGTACTTTGCGAAATGACATCCCTTCCATAAATCTATTTCGGTATAAGTGAATTGTAAAGAGCGACGGGTAGGTTTAAAAACGACACCCTTTGACAAGAACGAATGTGCGTCTTATGATTGAGAAATGGACCGATATGGCAAATCGTTTAGACGAATCACGCATTGAGGAATTATGTTATAGATTCTATGGACTTTTTAGGAATTATTATACATCGAAATAGCAACAGGGAATTACTCCAATAGAGGAACAAGATTAGGGCAGTAAATCCACTTGTGTGACAGAGGATCGGAAACCTATCCTGAGCTCGGTATGTGGCGAAAAAGCATTATATAACCGTCGATCAACAGGTCAAACCATAGAGGTCCAAATATGCTGCTGCGGTCTCCCGTACGGAATTTACGGTCACGCGTGACAGCCGTTTTGTGGGTGGACTCGAGTTCCCGACATACTGTTCCAACATTTTTTGCTGTGGAATTAAACACATTATTTAGACCAGAGGTAGGTTATATTTATCAATTTATCTGGTAGTATTTTATATCTAAGCAATAAATAATTCTCATCGACACAGACGTATCCCTGGCGAGGGGGTGCCCGATCGATATCCTCCTAAAATTAAAAAACTATCAAAAAGATGTACAAATATATTAAAAAAAAAAACGTCATGTCAATTTAAACACAGTTGGTAATTTTTTTGTTGAAAAGTTTTTATATTTATTTTCAGAGTAGGTAAACTGAGAATATTGAGATGGACAAGTGGAGTTAGAAAAAATAAGGAATGAGAAAGTTTTGAAACCGTTGAAATATCAAAAGAAATGAGAGAGACCAGATCGAGATGGTTGTTGGGCATGTTTAAAAGTGAAATAATAGAACAGAGAGGTCCCGGAAGAGAGATTTAGAGGTAGAAATTGGCCGAGGAAAAGCGGATGGATGTAATAAATAAAAAGACATGAAGATGTGTGGAGAGAATACAAAGATGGTGAGCGATATAGATTCAGCTGGCCATTTGTACTTGGAGAAGAGGCTCCACATTTCCTAGTCCCCTTCCTATAATCAATCTAATTCAAGTCCTTCGACCTACTGCAGCAATCTTATCGGCCGAAAGACCTGTAGAGTTTGTACCTATGTGTAAAATAAATTAATTTTTAAGTACGACGGTGCTTGTAAATTACTCACCTCTTGTACTTATAGGTACAAGGGTATAATAACGGTAATAATACTATACCGTTGTAGACCGTCGGCGTGCACGCGATACGTCCATTGGGTCTTTTGTGCGGGCCGTCTGTTACGCGATTAAACGGTTTAATTATACAAATTGTTAATATATTATTATTACATTTTATTATTATTTAGCATAACATAACACGATAACAAAACGCGCCCTTTTGAATGTGTACACGTTTCCACATTATTAATAGATATCCAACTCGTCACTGTAATAATTATAGTAGGTACCTCATAATAATAATAATTAACACAAATATATAGGTATATTATATTACATGTTTTCTATTATACGTGTCATTATTTTCGGGGGTACCTATTCCTATACCGAGGGCGGACTGCCCACACAGGTCGTTCCGGCGAGGACAGTTTATATATTGTGTCACAGGTGTATAATAATACCCGAGTGGATTTGAAACAGCGGTCGACGACATTGATTTTCTATAATAAAAATGTATATTGACTCTGAAACGTCCGGCAATGTAGATCCCGGCGATCCATTAAAACGTCAACGTTCCGACAACGATACCGGTACCGAAATGTCACCCACACGCCAAACGCTTACATTGTAGCTATTATTTATTATTTGCATTAGGTATTATCCTGGCCGAGTTTGCCGTTTGTCCACACACGACAGCACGCAGTGGGCGTTCGTCTACCCCTTCAACCAACCTCCCCCTCTCCTTACCATCCGATCATCGTCCCTTCGGCCCTTTGATTTATTCGAAATTTGCTGACCGCCACGACTGTGGGTCTGGAAATCAAACGATAGCGGCAATATATTATCGATTCGCCATACTCTCTTAAGATGGGAAACTTAAACGCCAACATCCATGTCGACCGTGTGACGTTGAGCGAGTAAAAATAAGTGCAATAATAAATTATTATTATTATTGAGGGGAACGGAAAGTACTATTTATTAAGGGGCAAAGGATAGGCAATATTTGATAAAAATTGATCTAGTAGTTATTTTTTAATATGCCGACTAATTTTAAGGTGACAAATTATATAGTTTTTTTTTGGCTATAATACTTTTAAAGTTATTTTTATCCGAGTTATGGCGAAAGTTTGATAAAAAATTACTTTCGTAGAAGTCATTTTCTAACATAGGGCGGATTTCAATTTTTCTTTTTCTTATGTGAATCCTACTATTTGTTCTATGAGCGCTGAAAGGCCGATTTTTGATTTAGCAATTAGAAAATTAGTCAGATTTATTAGAAAAAAACTATAAAAAAGTAAAAACATAAATGCTTATACTCGTACAGTTTTTTTGAAAACAAAAAATAAATAATCGGCTTTTTAGTCCCCATAAAATAGATGTTAAACTATAAAATAATAAAAAAAATTGATAAAATCGGTTCAATAGACACTTCAGAAAATGACTTCACGTCTTAGTTTTTATTTGAAAAAAGTTTATGCTTTCTGTTCCCCTTAAGAAAAATACATAAAAACCACAATCAGCTATCGCGTCGAAGCTAAAAAATATTATGATTATTAACATCCGAGTTAAAATGTTTTTTTTTAACTATTCCCCGTTCGCTTGTTGTACGGAATTTCGTTAAAATTTTAGACGGCCGACATAATAGATAATTAGTGATGATTAAATGTTATTTTGTTGAAACTAACGTGGCGCATTTACAACCTACCTACGCCAATGCAATATTATATTAAACGGGCGTACCTACATGTTTTTAAAATTGTTTTATGTGTATTCGTTCGCTGAAACCGAAACGTTGAAGTTTTTTAATTAGTTTATTTTTTGTTAAACAGCGATATGACAACGGCCGCGATTAGGGTTTACGGCGATAATACATAGAAGGGGGCTAGCTATCCATCACAATTAAAAAAGAACAAAAGTTTTAAAAAAAGTACACTGTCCAAAAAAAGAAATATTTTTGCTGAAAAATCGCCCAGAGTCGACGACTTTACAATTTTCACTTAAAAAACTTCGAACGGCTGTTACTAGGCAAAAAATCCGTTGCGCAACCACGTTTTAACATATTTTCTAATGCTATTATAAACTTATACTAAGTTTTCTCCTCCGCCGCAACACACGTTAGCTTGCGTTCTATAAGTTCAGAGTTATGCGACTATAAATCAAAATGTTGACAAACAATACGTCAAAAAGTTGTAAAAATAAATTATTCACAAATCCGCATTGAAAGCGCGTTTTGGGATTCGAAAATTGTCAAATCACTTTAAATCGTCTATTTTTGAACGCTGAATAGATTTGACAACTATTTTTTTAAAAATGATTTTCTCGAGTTAATTGAATATAATGTTATTATTTTCGCGACCAGGTACAAAGTAATTTTGTGGAAATTTCAACGCTCGGCACATTATTAAATTATCTTATTATTGTATGTGCCTTGTACGCTATAGTGGAACATTGTAGTTTCATTAAGTTTTCGAAGCAATTTGTTCGTGACTAGCCTACAAACGTTAAAAATTTACAATAGTAATAATCCGTGTTGGTTGACCGTGTAGTTAGGTAGGGTAGGTACACTGACCCGGACCATCAGGGGACCGTTTCCAAGCCCAGTGTCCGTTTTAAAATATTTATCAAACAACGCACCGAACACAATTTTCATAAGGATGACGGCGGATATAATGTTTCTCATTAATATTTAAGCGTTTAAAGCAATTTGACATAAATCAAGTTTTCAGAACGTGTCGACCGAACACGTTTAGGTACCCAAGTCGTTACAAAGGTCGGCCGATATTTTTGTGTGGATTAACAAACGTTTGTATTAAAAACAATTTATATTTCATTCAATATAATACAATAAAACTTACAATAATATCATATTATAACAGTATTCGTTCACTGCTTATTCAATATGTTAGTGCCGTAGCCAGATACTTATTTGGGGGGGGGGGGGCACTAGACACTGGTTATCTGTTATTAAGACCTAAGTGTACATTTTACAAAAGTCGCCACTATGGATGTCTATCCACTTATTATATGCCACTTGGTATACGAATAAATTCAGTGTTGGCACGTTTAAAACGTTCGGTTAGACACTTACTTTTGGCCGAATGAATTATATAGGTACGTTATATTTTTCGAAAAATATATTACCAACTAAAAATGTTCTGTCGGCTAACCACGGTCATTTTCAATTTTAAACGTACTGAAACATTCTGTGGGTACCCTATGTTAAAAAAAACTAACACTCAGTAATATAAGTACAAAAAAAAAAGGCATACCTAGGTAGGTAGGTTTAGGAATTTGTACCTTGTACTCTCCGCACGATATGTTTAATTATAACATTGATACATTTCTACTGATATTGCGATTATGTTATTTTTTGTTAATAAACACTTTTATCTTTTATTATCAATTTTATGCTGAAGGTATAATTTAGAAAACGAAAAAAAAAATTGACCTTATTAAAATATTATTATATTAATTAAATTATTATTCGTACGTGATAATACTAGTTAAAATTTTTGAAATTATTCTGACATATGACTGTAGAATAGCCGAAAACTTAAATTTTTTGTGTAAATTTCAAAATTATTACAATGCAAAGCACATACATATTGGCCGTTACGTAACGGTAACTTTGAACCTCTATAATAATATTATCCGTTAAAATGTCGACTAATATTCAAATTTATCGTTCTAGTTCAATATTAAAATTTGATCGTACTTACCTACTAACAGTGCGAAGACCAAGGAATCGCGTCGGACGAACGACATTGTTTTTCTTTTTCGGTTTTTCTAGATTCCGGTGGTGTCCAACGAGAATAATATGTCGGTCGGTTCTGTCAAAGGACTTGGATTCAAAATCCAACCACTGAATCGAATGACCGCTGTTGAAATTTATGCGGTTTAACGGCCAAACCGTATGGCGGCGGCGGCGACTCGCGGGTGATAATAGCGAATCTGTTTATTAATTTTTAATATATATATTTTTTTTTTAATTGTCGTTATCGGCGTGACGTGATAATTATCAACAAACCGATTCCGTTAGCGGGAAATTAATTTTTGAGAGGGGGAAAAAAATTCGCCTTACTATTTGAATTTGCCGAAAAAAAAAAATACTCGCCCGGTGTACTTGAGACGATTCCGCGGCGCGGTCGGCCCGTGTGCTATTGTGCGGACGCGCGCGGTGTGATTGATACGACGGTCCGTCGTTAATCGCACGCGTTGCCCATATACACACACACGGGCAATCCGGCGGCCGGCGCGGCACGGCGGCGCGTCGAATCAATATCATAGCGTTACCTTCCTACCGCGGCGGCCATTCGAAGGAGGCAGCGGCGCGCGCGCGCTCTCTATCGCACCGCACGGCAAAGGGTGGTGCCGCCGGCCGAAGCTTTTTCACAGATAGCCGCCGCCGTAGCCGCCACCGCTCTCTCTCCATCACCGCGTGTACCGCCAAAGGGCATCTCCCGAGTGTGTTGCGCCATGTTATCCATACAGAGCGCGTGCCGGCCGGCCGGTCGGTCGGTCGGTCCGGAAAGCCGGTACGTTACGCACATAATTATTTTCTTGCGGTTGTCCTGTAAAATTTGTGTTGTAAAATTAAGATGTTTTTGAATTAAATAATATCACCTTTATTTAAATATATATATTTTAAATTCTCGTTAAGGGGGCTCCATACAGACCATTTTTTCAGTCAAAACAGATAATTTTCATTCCATCGCACAGGCCTAACCAGTAATCCGATAAGAAATCTAAAAACAGATTTAAATTCGTCATGAAGTTTACTTAGGATCGGTCGAGGTACTTTTTTCAATTTTTAATTTTAACTGTTATTTTAAAATGTTGAAATTTTATAAAATGTTTAAACGTGTTTTATACATAGTAGGAATAAGATATCAAAAAAGTATGTCGACCGATCTCAAGTAAATTTCATGACAAATTCAAATTTATTTTCATATTATTTATCGGATCACTGGTTGAGCTTGTGCGATGGAACAAAAAATGTATGTTGTATTAACTAAAATGGCTTTTATTCATAGACAAAATGATTTAAATTAAAAATAATATCTTGAAGCTTATACAAATTAACCGGTAAATTTATTGACATGGTCGAAATTTATTTAAACCAATTTTTTCTTAAATATTGCCTTTACAAACTCCTTAAAAAATCATCTGTATGGAGCCCCCTTAAAGACAATATTACATTTTAAAATTGCCTATTTACGGCCCTAATCGTCGGTTTGTTTTAATATTTAAGTAGGTACTCTTAAGCTTATAATTTTAGTATTTTTTAATTCTATTCAATTTCTAGATCTAAAATTTCCTAAGTTTAAAATATCTGTCTTCCAGGAGCACTCAGAGTGGTTTCTATAGAGCCATATTTTTCCCATTTGATTTACACGTTTTTATTAAAATTACTTTTTCTACTATAAACAATTAATACAAATATTTTGATATGTATCTTTAACCTGAATAACAGTGTAGATCGGATAGAAAAAATTACATTGCTCATATTAGAATCACAATATATACTCGAATGAACAGCGGACCGTCAAAAATAGACAAGTGAATCATAGACAAATATCAATATCTATCTTTCAACCGAAGCCCATTACAAAAGCCTTTAGAATTTTTGGAAAGTCGTAGCTTTTAAAAATATTACAGGAAATACTCCAAATCTCAGACCTCTAGGATCTTATTTTTATATTCGGCCAGTGTTTCTGAAACTCATCGCTGTAGTTTGTAGACAATATGCCATAATTCGATTCATAAAGAAAAAATATCCACTAAGTATAGATCCTCCAAAATTGAACATCTATACAACATCACAAAAAAATTGTTTTTTTTATTACAGTACCTACAAAAGTTAAGCCAAGCTAAAAAAATGTTTACTTAGCCGTATAAATATATGCTTGTTGTATGTGTGGAAATAGCGTACTTTTAACTTTGGTTTAAAGAGTAAACATTAAACCAGAAACAAAATCCGAAGAGACTATTATTTCTTTTCACGCTTTCTATACGGAGATAATAAGTCAAAATACTGATAAGCGAAGACGTTGAAAACTTTTCATAAATTCTAAATGTTAGTTCAGGCGTTGTACGCCGCACACGGAAGAAACGTGTTAAATAATTGTTTACTATAAAAAATTGGACATTTATTTGTTCTACATGGTTTAGAGTTATTTTAATGCATTATTTACTGGCCATATAATATATGTATATATATTATAATATAAAATGTTTGCAAGATACGACGTCAAGTACCGCAGTCGGTCATTCTCTTTCCAAAGGATATAATTATTTCCCGAGGGATCAACTCGATTGCTTGGACAACTTGGATTACTCGCAAGGTTTTGAATTAATCGAAATACCTCAAAATAGACGGCCCATTATTATTATTATCGCGTGTTCAACGGTGGTATATTATAATAATCTGTGAACTCTTAATTGCGGTCAAAGTACCTAGGTAATGAGTAAACGTCGATTTTATTGTCCATGTATAAGCGATTGGGCATTATTATCGGGCCTGGTAATATCTTGTCGTAGTAACCACAACGGATAATTCAAAATATAATTATTGAACGTTTAGTGATAATCAAAAAATATTATATCAATTTGTTATGTTTAAATAATTACAATCGAATATAGTACAGATCAACTCGAGTGATTCATATAATTATCAGTTCATATTATATGCATATACCACCACTGTAAGTGCTCAAATATATGAATACATTTTAGTTTCGTGGCGAAGCTGAGAAGTTATTGTTTTTACAATAATGTGTTTAAAATAACATTAGTTTGTATGAACTATTCTTTAATCATATTACTACCAATAAACGTTGTCAAATCCCCCAAAAAATTACACAAGACTTTTTCCTCAGAAGTGGTGGAATTTTTTTTTTTAAATAACAATAATATTGCTTTGCTTAAAATGTATCGCTGTAAGCACGTCATATTATTGCTATATCTAGTAATGTGATTCTGATTCACTCAGAATGACCTACTATATCTACTAAGAATCTGTAGTCTGATGAAACCTGAGTGACGTTTGGGGAATTGGCCGTAAACGTTGCTTGTCTCGCAACTGAATTTTTTTTTAATAGGTAAAAGAACCTTATTAACATGTTTAAACGCAAAACGAAATATTTAGTTAAAAACTTTTTTTGTGGGCACATACCTACTGCCGAAACATGTATATGAAAAATGGCAACATTTAATAAATGTTGTTACAAGTTTTCTGTAATTTTTTTTTAGATAGTATCTATTAAACTTAATATTGTCTCTAATGTAAGCTGCAATATATATTATTATATATAATGCTGATGTGACTTCAATATCGACATTTACCGCTTGTTTAATTTAGCTCAAGTTAGAGTTTATATTCAGATATGTTTTCCATCATCTTATTATAAAAGTTTTGGCGCCTTGGGCCGATGAGTTATTCGCCAAAATTAGCTTACTTAGCACGATACGACACGATACACATAATAGTCGCTTTTTGAAAATACCGCGGGCGTATAAAAGTTTGTATCAACACTATAAAAGCGAATTAATTTTCTAAAATGATTACATAATAAACTGGATTAGACATATTCTACCGGCAAATGCTATAGTATCATAAACAACTCGGTAATTATGATCGTTACGCTGAAAGTTTTAATTTAGTATGTATAATAAAATGCGTTATTTTAGCTTTATAGCGTTGTGGTGAAACTATTTTTTTTATATAATCGTCATAATCTTTGCTACTGTGCCTTTTGCTTACCTATAGTACCGACCTAGTACCTACCAAAAATATTCTTTAATTTAAGATAAATTAAATAAATCAATGGGTCATTGAAAATTGTAATAACCGGAAAATCGCCAATTTTTGGACTTAGGTTTGTCTTAGTTCTGAGGAAATATTGAACACAACATTGTATTATTTTTTATAATTTTAAAAGTATTTATATATACGTGCAATATTGAAATCTAATTTTGTTCATCATTTCTATTGTAAATAATAATAGTAGTCTAATAAATGTTCACAATTATCAGAATTCAATGCAAAATGTAATAATTCATCGAAACAAAAGCAAAACTTTTTTGTCAAATTTTATTCCCATGGAAGTCCTGGACAGAGTTATAGGTCTAAATGATTTCTTCCAAAATAATTATACCGTTAAAAATGTAATGTCATGCCCGCCAATTGTTAACCTACTACACAGCACTTGATTAAAAAAAAAAAAATCATTAAATACTTGTTTAACCAAAAATCAAAATGTACCTTTTATACATTTGTTGCCTATACTGTCAGAAAAACTAGAACTAAAATTAAAATTTAACAAACCATTTATGTAAATCAATATCAAGATTGGAACTAACAGAGCCATATGGTACTGAATGTGATATTAATAAATTGTTAATTTTAACACATTAGGATTGGAACTAACAGAGCCATATGGTACTGAATGTGATATTAATAAATTGTTAATTTTAACACATTAAGTATGATCTATCAAACAAGAAGTTGATAATTGGAGAGCAATCCCCTCTAACTCCATCGAATTTAAGTAATATTCCATGACTAACTAAATATGATAAAAAATTAATTTTATCTCATTTTTCAAATACTTTTACTGCAATTTTTCTATATTTTAAATATGAGCTTTTTACTCCTGGTTTAAAAAAAAATGAACTATAAACTTCTTCAAAGCGAACGGTCTAGCAGTCGACGAACTGCGTAAAATGTGTCTTTTAGTCCTGAAGGACACATTGTATATTATCAATTTCCACCTATTATTATTATTATTATTATTTCCACCTAATATTCTACGTAAATGTTGTATTTTTTAACTTTTATTCAATCGTCCATTTATTGGATTATTAGTCTTATTACTCATTTATTAATTTTTGTCTTAAAGAATCTATGTTTACCTGTGTTACTATTATTACCATCAATGTTAAAAGAAAAATTGTGTTATGTACTATTGTATTGATCTAGTATGCTGTGTCTTATATGGCAACCTATTTTTTAGGCAGCCCGCTTGATTTTTTAAAATAAAGTTGCTTCTCTCTCTATATATATATATATTGTAATTATTAGAAGGGAAAATGTTGGTATATTTTAACAGACTGGTTGGTTGTCTATGACCCAGTCAATAACTTAGAAGATATTAGAATTTTTTTATTTATTCTTTTTTTACATTTATAATTAATAGTTTGCCCGAGTAATGACAAGCTGTGACGTAGTAGGCGAAGTTGGCAGTTCTAAATATTTAGGATCTTTTGTACAAAACAACGGTGGCCTTGATGAGCATACGAAACAGATAATTAAGTACGATTGGATCAAGCGAAGAGAAGCGTCAGGTGTTTTATTTGACAAGATAATTCCAATGAGATTTAAAGGTAGTTCTACAAGAGCGTGGGGAGACTGACTATATTATTTTATATGGGTTGGGTGGTTTAGAAATACAACTTCAATTTGAGCTCAACAATAACGCCATGGTGTCCAGGCTACAAACATATTCGTTAAAAAAAATTGTTCTAAAATATAAGTATATAAATGTGTTAAAATTTCAAGAACATGGACTTAGTATTTTCATAAACCTAACAGATTTCAGATATTATACTTGTCAAATATTTTTTAAAACGCTATACCTAACTAAGCTCTAAGTTTATAGTTTTATGTATTGCAGTACATCGCATCTATATAGCTGTAGTGACATCTAGCAGTGTACTAGGCATGGACGATGGCGATACTTAGTCGGCAGGTCGCGACACCTACCGATTAGCCATCGGTTGTGTCATCGGTAGATAGGGGTTTATGTACCATGTAATGCTCGGTTTATACTATGATGGTATTTATGAGGTGCTACTCTCTCACTCACAAGCGTGGTTTGGTGTCCTATCTACCTATATGGTGCTATCAATGAAATCGTTTCAGAGATTCTTAAATAATTATCGTTTATCGTTGTTAATAACACAAATAAACCTGTTATGAAAACATGGCGATCGTTTAAAAGCCACACTAATTAATTCAAACGGTACATCGTTTTGGCATTTTCATATAAAAAAAAAATTAGGCAGTTTTATCCCATCGAAGTGATTTTCGCAAAAAGTATTTGTTACCAATGTTAAATCGTCATAAGCGCTAACAAAATTCATAAATCCCAATACGAACGATTGTTGTTGTCTCGGTTTAGATGTTTGCAATAACACCAGCTATATTGCAATTGGATAAATATTGAACACGTTTTTTTACTATGTAAACGTTAAAAAATCTCCTCTGAGTGTTTGTCTTAACAATTCGACATTAGTAATATTATATTGGTTTTTATAATACTATAAAATAAAACTTACTAATCACATTATTACAAAAATATTAACACAATAAATAGTATAATTTGTATGGGTCATAATGCTTATGTAAAATATATATGTACAATTTTTAATAAAGCAAAATTATTGGCCCTAATCACCACCGATATTAAATCTTCTAAAGGTGAAACGGAAGTAGAACTAGACAAAAAATAAAAACAAATGTTTACAAATAATTGCTTTGTTACTTAAAAATAATCACCCAGTAATTGTTAACATATTATTATAAAGCTCAATTTTATTTAAAATCATAACTGCGCCACAGATACTTCTAACTTACTTCAAGACGGCTATTCTATTACCAATGTTTTGTATTAAACGTGTGTATTTTGTACAAATTGAATATTAAAATATTGAATATTTATTTAAATTGTCCTTATTTTATTAAAAATCATTAAAATGTATTACCTTAAGTATATTAATAATAACACCTGAATGGGATATTTTCTGAAAAGAGGACTATACTTTTTCGCAAAAATCTAAACAAAATACACGTATAATATAATATCATTTACGGTTTTTATCATCAATTATAAACTTTACTACCAACTAATTTAAAAAAGAATAGCAATGCATTTGTATAAAGATTATAAAGATTTTAGTGTAATTTATGAACAAAAGAAAAAGTCTTATAAATTATGTTAAGTATAATTTATTGATTTAGTTAACAATAAAGCATATTGTATACAGATATGTGTAGTTGTATGAAGGCAACAATGGTTTTTGTGTATCCAACCCAAAAACATAGATTCCATATTATTATGAAAGCGAAATCTAGATTCCCATAAAACCTTTCACTGAACAAAATATTTGACTTTCGTAACCGAATTTTGGCAAACCGGTCATCGCAAAAGCTAGAATATGCTAAAACATTATTGTACTCTATGTATACTTAATTTAAAAATCACTAAAATGTACGATTACATTTTTAATAGCCACTATATACCTAGTAACATACAAAACTGTGCTAGAAAATCTGTGCTATATTTCAATGTGTGTTCATACGTTAATTGATTGACATAATATTTGTATCTAAATTATTAAAAATGTACATAGGTAGAAACCGGCAGCTACAAAATAAAATGTAATGAATACTAAGAGTTCAGACACGTTATCATGGCTAAACAAATAACATATAAGATCTTTTTCGTATACAGGAGTACAAAACAATATTGAAACAGCTTGCACTTATGTGTTTACTTCCTACGTTTACGCGGATTGACAAAATACAATTTAAAGAAAAACGACGTATAACATTTTATAGAAAACACAATTGCAACCGCTTTTCAGCTAATATAACGTTGATATTACAACGATTTTTTTTTTACATTAAGTTTTGTGTAGTGTTCAAAATGAAATCCGCAATATATGCAATTTATGTATGTAAACAATTATACTAATTCTTCTTCTTCTTCTTAGTTTTGGCCTTTAAGACCATACTGCTAAACACAAACTTTGCCACCTATCCGTGTCTTCCGCTGCTTCTCTCCATTTGGTATCAGGTTCTATCTTTTTAACTTCTTTCTTCATACTATCTTCACATCTTAGCTTAGGTCTACCTAACGTCTTTTTTTAAATTATATTAATTCATAAAAAATAATTAATTATATGGTTTTAGTAGAGCATATGTTTTTTCATTAATGGCCAATTCGAAACATAGGGTCCCAAATATGGAAATTGGTCAAACCTAGATGATATTTTGCTATTATGTTATTTTATTTTTAGTTTAATAATTTCCTATAAATTCATTAGTATCAAGTATTATTATTACAATTTGTTTGTGAGTTATGGGTTTTTTGTATAGAAATATGTCTTGTTGGCAAGAGTAATAACGCCTTGTTATTAAGTTTTTTAATTTCGTTAAATCGTTTTTCAAAAAAGATAGAACATTGGTTTGTTATATAATATTGGCTTGGCGCAGCTAAAACATTTTTAATAAAAAAATAACGGTTTTTAATAAGCATTTTGGCGGCTGTTGAATGTTAAAAAATACTTTAAAATTAGCGAAGTGAGCACAAATGTGTTTAATGTTTATACTACCAAAGTTTATGTATTTGAAAAATTTGCGTTATTTTTTAAATTTATAAAAAATTTAAATGGGGTACATTCTTTTTTGTTTTAGATTATACTCGTATTAGCGTTGGTCGTTGAATTATCATCACTGATATTGTCTGAAAATTCAAAACAAGATTTAGCTTCGACCTCAATGTCTTTAAACGATGATGAAAATACTGAAGCCAACCAAGAAACAGGTATTTTTATTTATTAATAGGTACACAATATTGTTCCTAAATGTTATTTTAAAATAATTAGTGAGATAATGTAAACACGAAATATATAAATTGTTGCCTTTCTCACCAATTTAACTTACAAATTAAGTATATTTCAACAAAACTATGTATAATCACAGGCTAAGCTATATTTGTATTTTACTCTTAACTGGTTGTAATGGCTACGAATGTCTTGTAATAGTTCTCACTAGTTCATTAAATTTCCTTGTCAATTGATTTAAAGTAGCAAATAGAATAATTTAAATAATTTTTCTTATCTGCTTATAATTAACAAAAGTATCCATTGTCATATAAAAACATTTTTTTATTTAGATATGAAAAATTTAAATATTTTTGAATATTCAACAAAAAATTTTGTTAAGAGTTTTAACGATGAAAAAAGCGCGTTTAAAGACCTAGTAAATAAAGGTGAGTATGTATATGTGTTATATAATTCACAAATATATTATTTGGAGCCAGTAATATTTTGAATTTTTTTCTTTGAATCGTTAACTATTTGTTTTAGTTTATTAGGTACACAGTAGCGGGTAAAAAAATATATAGATTTAAATTTAAATTTAATTAATAGTGTTTTTAAAGATAAATACCAAAACATTTTAAAACGTGTATGTTTTGTGAATTTAACAATTGTTTTTTGTTATCTTAAAAACTGTTATAAACTTTGCATTTAACTAAATAAATTCCTAAACTAAATGATTTTAAAGAAAAAACCAATTTCCCAGAAATAAAACTTATGCGAAAAGTGTATATCAAGTTGTTTTATAGGCATTACGCTTGTAAATGAAGATGATCTGATGTTCCAGTATCCTTGTTTTCTTTTAAATAAAAAGATCGAAATTTCATATGAAAGTTTGGCAATATATGTTTCAAAGAAAGCGTGCGAAAACGAAAATATTACAGAGAATTTTAAAACAGATTGTGAACATAACATGAAATGGCTTATTGAATTGTACGGAGAGGATGTCTTAGCAACTAAAGATATAATGCAGCGTATAGATGAAAACGTTTTAATTCAAGAAGACGGATCTGTGAAAATAGGTGATGAATTTATACTTTCATGTAGCGGAGTACTGATTCCAGTTGAACTTCAGTAATTAAAAATGTATTCCAAATAAAAAATCAATTAATGTTTTAAATATTTTAGATAAATCTTTATTTTTCAAATACTTATTTGTAATTAAAATTCAAAACTGCTTGTCTGGTGCATTGTAATGATAAATAACAGTGAATAAATTCTGAACTATCATAGGAATTTAGGTGAATTGTAGTGTTTGAACATTTAAATATAAAGTTTAATTATTATACGTCACGTATCAAGAATGTTTTATGACCATTATTTTTATTATTGTTATTATCATTATTATTATTGTAATTATAATTATAAATCTATTACCGTTCATGTAAAATGTTATAAATAATCATTACCTTCACCTAGGTAAAAGGTTTTACTATTTTAAATAATATCTTTTTTGGTAAAATTTATTCTTTTTGAAATGTTTTAAAATTATACCTTTAATTTACTATGTATTTTTCTCATACTTTTGAAAATGTATTATATACTTTAATATCTGAACATGTTTTATAATTTTTTCACATTACTGAATACAAATAATTTCTAAACATATATAATACAGTATAATGCTAAACTAAATATGATCGTTTATAGATTAGATTTTTAAAATTTAGACATGCAAAAAAAAAAGATAGATTCTACTATTTTCAAGTCTTAAAAAAAATTAAAACTTAATAAACAGATTATTAAAAAAATGATAAACTAAGACATTTTTAAAAAAAAATCTATCATAAAATAAAAATAAAAAATTACAAAATATGAATAATATTGAAGTTTTGGAATATTTTTCATTCAGCTTTGATTTTAATGAATATTTTTTGTTAATTTGCATGATTAAAATTCATAATAATCTACAGTTTATATTGAAAACACTAATGTATGGTTTTATATGGCTAAAACAATGTTTTTGTGAAAATTCAAACTTTTCTAGTCCTCTGATCGATATTGACAGTTATGAACTTGGTAATATTGATTAAATTGTATTGATAATGAAACGTTAATATTTACCGGAAATGAATATTTAAAATGTTTTTGGTAATTGAAAATTTTTTATTATGTATGTTTTTTTATTTTTTTAATATTCACCATATTATTTTGTCATCAAAAACCATTCACTCGTTTATAATTTTCTGTTAAAATTGGAGATATTAAACGACGATCTAAGGAATATGTTAATTAAAAGTTTTAACGCTTCCAATTAAAGAGGTGTGTTTCCAACGTTACTAAATTACATTAGAAGCCATGTTACACGCACATAGTATAATATTTTGAACGGAGAAGTTTCATTAAAAGTTTGTATCGTCTAAAAGTGTTTATATATAATTAGTTTCTAAAACGTGTACACAATACAGAACAAACTTAATGAAATATTACTATGCTCTAATGGTTCGCTGTATTTAGTCTTAACTTTTAATGCCTGTACAGTATCTAGTAATGGTTATTTAGTTTAATAGGGCAATCAATAGGTACCCATTTTTTTAAGTACTAAGAACAAAATGTTAATGTATCAACGGTAGAAATCAGGGTAGGGGGGGCTTGGGATACTTAAAACCTTAAAATTAATGTTTTTCAAAATACTTACATTTATTTTTTTGTGAGAGATTTGATGAAATAAAAATAAATTTAGGATTAGTTTTAAGTTTTTTTAGAATCCCAAGTCGCGCTCCCCTGATCTCCGCCAAAGGAACTACATAAAATATGTAGGTAATATACAGTGAATTTTTTACTTTATGTTTATTATTAATTTAAATATTTAGTCCATCGAATTAGAGCCAAAATTTATAAAAACGAACAGTAATATTTGCATTAAACATTATTTTGTTGAATTTTGTTCCTACTGCGATAAACAGTGTTTGTATGCAATTGTGTGTAAGCCTGCAATAAATTAGTATTCTTGTACAATTCTCACTTTTTGCTTTAATACAATTTAAACATAAAAACGAGGAAAAAGCATCGGTTCGATGCATGGGTAAAAATAAGCCGTTGCGTTGTTCAAACAATACAACACAACTCCTCGGTATTTAACAGAAATAACCGTCTCAGAAGGACGGCCCACAGGCTTATAGCTTTTGTAGTGCACGCACGGAAAATAAGAGGGTGACAATTGGCTGTGGGAAACAAACCTCCCTACTAAAGTGAATGGAACATAACACAAGTTTGCAGACTCGTTAAGTAATAACTGCTTGACAATATATTTGGAACCGGTAGCCGCCAGATTTGAATTTTAATTGGATTTAACATTGATGAATAATCAAGTAACGTACTTAAGTAGGTAATCGATTTTGCTGCATGTTGTTTTAGTAAATGGACGAACGCGAATAGCCAGAAAGATTAGACAAGTTAGTTAGGTATTGAAGCTTAGGAAGGCAGAAGCTATCTGTGTTTTGTACTTTTAATTTTTCGATATTGTCCGGACCGGGTAAACACGTGCAATGTGTATCATTGATTTTCGTTTAATACCTTTTTCTTTGTACTTTTGAATAACCGACATAGTAGCCTTAGCAACGAAATCAACAGTTTTCTCTCTCTTTGCTGTTGTTATCGTTCAGTGCCGTGTGACATTTCCTCGAAGCTAGTAATCATTTCAGTGATTAAGTTCATAGATGTTGCGATCAAAGAGGTTGGATTTGGTCGAATCGCGTTCATGGATCAAAGTAAGTCGAGTAAAGTTGTAAAATATGTTTAGTGAGAAATGTTTCAAAGACGTTTGTTTGTGTTGTGCGATAAAGAATAATATTGAATTTGTTATTGTTTTATTTTATCCATTGTAAATAAATAAATAACACGCTGTAAAACCAATTTTGAACTCTTTTCTTGTAACAAGAACAAAAATACATCTGATTTAAAAGACTTTTATTATTTTTGCTGAATCCGTATAAAGTGAGATTTTGTGCAGCACACGATTTGTGAAAAATGAATTCTTATTACATACTACATTATTATATTTTTTATGTTATTGTAGTTTTGAAAAAAATAAGAATAAATATTTTACATGAACGTACATTTTTGGTAATTCATGGAATTTCTTCAATTACTATAGTGGTTATATGTAGGACGATTTTATTTTAGTAAGAAAATGTTTTTAATGCTTTTATATATTATATCCATAGTTGGTGAAAAAATTAAATATCTACCAAATAAAATTATATTTTAGTCCTTCACGTAAAAAAAAAATAGTTCAACACTTTATTAGCTAAAAATTTAATAATATTTTCTTGACTTTTTTAATTAGTTTGGAAATCGCAAGCTTTTAAAAAAACAATCATCTTCCCTCCAAATAATGATTGAACTATTTTGATTGATTTTTGCAATGTGTGAGGTAATTTTAAGGTTTTTTTTATACCATTACAATATTTTTTATAATCGTTTTCTTGATTCGGTTGTACTTAAGTGTTCGATTAATTATAAAAAGACCCAAACAATTGCTCTAATCATTCTAATAATTAAAAATAAATGTGTATAGTTTCTGGCAGAAAGTGATCCTAATTTTCTATTAATTGTTGTACAAATACTTTAATATTAAATTAAGATTTTATTTTTATTCCGGCAAGCATATTTATGGTTATCGACTGGTCGGTACCTACTACTAAGATTTTTTTGTTTTCGCATTTAGAAGTTGAAAGCAGAAAACCGGCAACTAAAAGAATGGCATAGGCGTTACGAACAAACTATACTCAGGTACGGTGACACTTCCGTCACGCTGCAACATATCATATGTACCTACAAAGACGATTTACGGATGATGCAAAAACGTACACGGGAGTTGAACAGCCAGTTAAGACAAACCCGTGCCATCAACGAAAATCTAACCTCCGAATTGGCCGCTTTACAAAAAGAACACAAACACCTGCTGGACTTGTCCAAGAACAAGCAGTTGGAAGAACGCGAGAAACTCAGCAACAATCTAGAAGAGTCCATTGGGGTGATCAAAGAGCTGGAGAAAAAAAGTCAGGTAATTACGGAGGGCATTCATTATAGATTTTTTGCCTAAATTGAAAGTCTCTTATTTTTTAGAGTTTATCCAGAGCTCTTGAATTGCAAAAAAAAAATCATCGTGAGCGGCTGGTCGAGGAGACGGACAGAGTGAAACTGTTGCAATCAGAACTGAAACGAATGAAGGACAAGTACGAAAAACTGTACTCCGAAATGGAAATATTCAAGTACAAGAGTTACGGTGGAAGGCGGAGTTTCGTCCGTGGAATATCTACTTGTTCTCCCGATAACGTGACGACCAAGCTGGTAACGATCACTGGGTAATGACCAAAAGTCCAAGTATGACTGTTTTCGTTAACTCGGTTTAGTGCGGCGTTGAACTAATAACTTACAGTAAAAATTATAATAGGAAAAACGTTATGCGCCGGATTGACTGCTGGCACTTTAATTAACGACTGTACATTCAATTATGATTTTTAATTAAATTTGTCGCAGTGTTCCGGCTTCCCGGAATTGTATTGATTTAGCACACGCAAATACATAAAGCCCTAAGCATTAGGTTCATTTGAATTTTTATTTTGTCAACAGAGCGAGGAAGGAATTGATGTCCATTCGAAATGCTGAGCTCTGCATAGGCGAAGAGTCGTTCGAACAACAAACGACCAACGTGCCAAGGAAATCTATCAAACCGGAACTAAAACATGAAGATTCCGAAATCAGTGAACACACTAGTGAAATGCAGATAACCCTTATGCGGCAAATACACCAGGATGTGATTGAAAAGCCAAAAATGCTTATGAAAAACGACACGACCGATTTTTCGGATCGTCCTTGGGCGAATCGAGATATTGTAGACATGTTAAAGGTAAAGTTGAACCTATGCAGATCGCTTCACCGCCTCCAGAACTCATAGAAAATATGAAGTTTTATTGCTAATGAAGTTATTGACCTTACTAATAAAACGGCACAATTGCGCAGGTGGACGAATTGGAATCAAAAGAAGCGGATAATTCGTTGGAACTCGATGAGTGTTCCGGGGCGAAAAATCCTTTTTCTATTCCAGAGAATTTAGAGAAAAGGCAACCAAAGCACAGAAAGAACGCGGTTATGGCCAAATTTAAGACGTCGATGTCTCAAAAAAGCGTATCAAAGTGTTCTTCGTCAGCCTCTTCTTCTGGGATTTAAAACTGTTGTTGATAAAATCCAAAATACTTGATTTTCCTAATGTGATTTTCAATTGTGAGTTTAGATTGAACATGTGGCTTTAAACTATGTAATTTTATATATTCAATTTGTTAATATTAGTTTTTACTTAATAAAACGTTATAATCTTAGATTTCTAATCTAGTTGACAATCAGGGGCACCGAAGTAAAAAAAAAAACACGTTAGGTATTTGATTTTAAAATGTTTTACTACAACTAATTTCAATGTCAAAAATCCATCTTTATGGTAGTATTTTCTTTTTTTTACATAAAGGAGTTTTATTTTGTTAGTTTAACATTTACATTGGAATTTTTACTGTGGGCAAGCCGAGTTCACGACTATAGGGTTGTTATTAAAATTCCATGTGTAAGTTAAGTGAAATAAGTAATAGTTCCAGCCAGGTACCTGATCCCCGTTCGTTAGGTCAGCGGCAATGTTGTTGGAAAACGAAGCCTTTGAAATGCGTTTGGCTTAATGGTTTTTCGCAATCGTCGAGTACATAAATAATCTGTAAAACTATTTAAAGTTCGTGGTCCATTAAGAACTTACACATACAATCGCAATAGTCACTTTGCTTTCACAGTCCGTAACGAGTGATCATTCGTCGTAAAACTCTTCTTAAAGATCTAGAAATTTACACCTCGGACTGCAGGCACCACGTTATGCACTGCAGTATATATATTAAATATTAAAATATACATTAGCGTAAATCATACTAAACAACATACAAATATAGCTAAGTAATAATAGTTAGGTAATAATATATAGATATTACAATATTAGGTAATGTGAAGCATTATTTTCTAAGTTTTGTATTTGATGCTTCTTTTGATACTTGAAAAGCGTCGAAATCCTCGCCGTAGTAATTAATAAATTACCTTAAGCCATATTTGTTTATCTGGAAACAAAACTGTTTTGCCTTTAAAAAGTTGTCTGTCAACGTTTGCAATATTATTATAAAAAAATGTGTGCTCGATTGGTCCTTTTTTGAAATTATACGACCTAACTTACTCCTAGAAAAAGCGTAACTAAAATTTGGCTATTTTAGATTTGTAAACAATCTTAAAACTTAAGGAAAATATATTTTAATGTTTGCCCTAAATTATTTTCATTTTTGTACTAAGGCAATTATTGTAATTTTGAAGTTAGCATGATATTGAGTGTAATTTAGCCATTCGCTGACTACAATATAGTTTATATTTTTTAAAATCCACACAACATGCATTTTATCGTTTTACTAACATAGATATAGACCCCCCCCCCCCCAATGAAAATGTACCTATTTTTCGCATTTAAACGATAATTGCAGTTTGATTGAACCAGGTGAACTAATGGTTATTGTGTTCTGAAGCAAGTCGCAGAGCAAGACAAATGTGTGCGTTGCTAATATGGTGTTTATACTTATATATATATATAAGTGATCTATATGCGTCGCGTAGATACCATAGCAATGGGGCGGACGAAGTGACAACACCATCAATCTCTGGCCCTGGGTCGATGTGAGACCGTGCAGGAATGGTAATATATTGCCAAAAAGGCTGAGGTTAGGGTTTGAAATATTACACAGGCGCCATCACCGTGCTGACAACCGACATAGCAGTTATCGCTTGAATTTTTTTCCCTATTATATTTTATTATTACACAGCCATTGATAAATTATTATTACTCTTATAATAATAAATTGCTATTAATTATAAATACATAATACGCTTTGGTACGAGTTCTGGTTTTTTTTTTTATTAATATACATATAATTCAAAATATTTTACTATACACAATGCGCTGACGGGTTTGGTGAAAGTTATACATAATATTATAACCAGCTTAGGAGACAACCAAGATTTGCGCTTGAATTAATTTTCTTTAGTGGAGTATTGTTTGCAAGCAGAAAAAAAGATAAGGGAATGTCCCCGATTGAATATGTTGATAATCACTGTAAACTTTAATACGGCCGAGTAAGCGATTAATCTTAGTTTAATTAAATTTTTTTTCTTTATTATTAACCTCCGTAGACTTGTTTTTTTAATTTTTTAATAAAATATGTTTTAAAAGTAATTCCATTTATAAGATAGACCGTTGATAAGTAGGTACTCTGCAATTGCAGAAAAGTTTCACAAAAAAAAAAAAGAAATCTGGTGTCTCGACGACTATAATTAAAAAAAAACAGTCGTTTCATTAACGCGCGATTTATGTTGGTCTATTTTATTTTGCAAACAGAACAAATTTAAATTTAAAAAGAAAAAGTAAAACGAGCAGGTCAAAATTAGTACATTTTATGAAATAATGTAAATGGCCAACATTAATATTAATTAATTCGGTATTTTTATAAAAAAAATGTATTTTTAATTCTATGTATTTTTAGCTTTAATTACCGGTTTAATATGGAAATAAATCTCGTTTTATTAATATCTTCGAATAGTCATATACTGATTTCTATAAAGTAGTGTTCAACATTTAGTGTTTACAGAACTGTACTTATACTGCCTTCAAGACTGTGTTTTTGTTAAATTTGTAGTTTTTCCTAGATCGCAAAATGTTGATTAATAAACCCAACATTCATATAAAATGTAAGATTTGTTGTAAAAAGTTGTGTTGGCACACAAGGTTTTCAGGTCTTGAATACGTAGTGCTTAAAAAGTAGAAGATGATAAAATTTCTGTCCTAAAAACAAAAATTTTAAACGACCAATAATTGTTGGGGTTTATCTTGGTTTTAAAAATTATTTATACAACTCAACGAATTCTTAAGAAAATATAAAATTAAAAAATATCAATTTCTCCAATGTATTCCGCATTACTTTTTTTGTGTCAAACGGTCTCACAAGATGCACTTTACAGTAATGAATCTCAAAACATGTATGTTTCCAATACTTGTTTAATAAATCCTTGCGGTTATTATATGGATCCAATACAATATATTGTGACGTTATTCTTGAACACCATCAATCATTTCAGTACACTTTGTATCTTGATGTGACTAAAAGCGGGTTTAATGGAAGTTCAAGAAAAATCATTACCCTATACAAAAAAGGCCCCGAGGTTCATTTGTTCTAACAAGGTGACTAGGTTTAATTGAGGATTAATTTTTTTGGAGTTATTTTTGGCCTGCATTTAAAGAAACATACAATATTTTATAAATAACGTAGACGAACCTCATACAAACTTGAAACTTTAAACGATTCAAAATTGTATATATTTATAATTTCTATTCCTAAATATAATCTCATCCTAAATGGGATTTTGTATGGAACTCAAATTTGAATTAACAATTGTAGTAGTTATATTATTATACGGCTACCTACTAATTATATCCAAGTTAATACCTTCTTTGAATAAACACTAATTCATTTTAGTTTATTGAAAAAAACCTGATTTTTTTTAATTTTTACTTTATCGTTTTTTTTTCAACACAAGAAAACGCAACTTTTTTGGAAAATGACAAACTTTTTCACTAAAGCATCTGGTGTTTCGATCATTATAATATAGTGATGGCTATTGATACAAAACATAAAAATAACCGGAGTTTGTCAGTTTCTCGTGTAATGTTATATACCTAACGGGTTTCTATCTTGACGACAAAAATATTGTACACAAGAAAAAAGAAACCAACGATAAAAAAAAAAATTAATACAAAACTTTCCAGACAACAGATTTGTGGACGTGACTCACGGGGGTGGTGTACTTGAACAGAATTTTCTCAACGGCAAAAAAACCAATCGGTGTGAAAACTACCCGCACTGTCCTCGGCGGTCATCAATCGGGGACCGAGTGTCGTTATGCTAAAAAGGAGTTTGGATAAAAATGATGATAACGACAATAAAGTCACCCTACCAGAGGGGGGAGGGAAGCTAGCTGTAGACCGACTTGGAGGGCGGATCAATCACATTAATAATCGGTCTTCCCAAATGACAACGAGGCAGGTATTATATTTTAAACGATACGCTGAGGTTTTTATTTTTTTATTATTCATTTGTCACTTCGAACCCTCTAAGCTCTTTGTGCGCATTAAGAATGTCAACTTCAAATGACAGTGAAGAATATAGGAATACGGCATGGCAATTTGATCTACATAAGTGTCACGCGGCACTTTGGAAATATAAATATTTTCTAAATGTTTTGTAAACATTTTGGCGGATTATAATGTTATAAGTATAATTGTGGTTTGATGTTTTACAAATAACTCACATTATTGAAAGAACTATTATTAAAACAAGAATTTTTACTGAAATATTTTTATTGGCGTTAGGTTTTAATTTCTTACCAAAACATAATATAAAAAAATTTTTTAATTTTGCGAAATTAATTAGTTTTTTCAATAAAAGTATACTGTATAAATATTTTTTATATGTATTACTGTTTGGATTATTATGGATTTCAAAAATGGTGTTTCGTTCTTATAACAAGAAAAATATGCTTTGTTTAGTTTATATCAAATATAATAGAAAATATGCTGTACAAAGAAACGTTTTTGTATGTAGTAAAATAAAAAAATAGCACGAAAATATAAAAGGTCTTGGATTATCAATTCTACGTTTTATTGTTTTGCAAAATTGAACCAAAGGGAATAACATTAAAATTTATAAAATCAATCGCTCTAAAACTGCACACAAAAACATGGTTGTTAATAAACGGTCTTAAGTTTATTTTGTTCGTTCAATTTTTAATCATAAGGTATATAGTTTAAAAGCAAACTTGACTACAACATTTTCAACTCATTATTTTATGCATTTTTTATTTTATTTTTGAAATAATTTAAAATAAAAGCAAGAGTAAATACGTGAGCAACAAATATCAAAAAATGTATTTTTGATGTTTTAGATGGTGTATTTAGAACACAGGGTACTTAAGAGTTAAGTATCCAACTGGATAGTTAAGCTAGGTTTGTCTACGGATGTATTGACGATTTATTCAGAAATAAGTCTATTCCTAACAGAAAGTCTCCGTAATAAAATAAAGGGAAATTGTAATATCAATAAATGGTGGAAGAATATTTCACTTCAATATTGGAATATG